GTCCTTGAACCTCTGAGAACTTCCTAGACCCAGGAGATACACAGAGAGAGCTGGTGTACCAGAGCAAGCAGCCGTAGCAGCAGAGAAACAGCGGCAGGCAGTCCTAGAGACCAGTGCAGGACAGCACAGCGGGTTCCTGGTCCACACAGCGAGGTGGCTACAGTGGATGTGCTGACCCAGGGAACCAGAAAGCTCCAGTGGGCCAAGGCTTACTGGAGGAATGGGGTGCCTGTAGGTACCTCTCAGTGGTGCTAACAAGCTTTGTAACACTTGCCTGAGCAGGGCAGGGCCCCAAGAAGCCCAAGGGGTCAAGGGGCCAAGGGGCCAAGGTCAGGGAGAGGCCTGACCAAAGAACTGTATCCTGAGTTGTTTCTGATTTGGAATGTAGCCTGGTTTTGTTGTTGTTAAGTGCCAGCACTTCTAACTCATAGCAACCTGGTAGAGGATTTCCACGTCTGTACATTTTTGCATTCTGGTGTGTCACGGTAAGATAAGCACTAGACCATTAGGTCAGTTCGAACCACAAGGTGGGCAGTTCAAACTCATCAGTTACTCCTTGGAAACGCTTTACAGAGTTGCTAAGAGTCGGAATCAACTCGATGACACTTACTAACAACAATTTTTTTTTTTTTTTTAAGCAGGAGCAGAAAGCCTCATGTTTCTGCTGCAGAGTGGCTGTTGGGCTTGAACCACCACTTTGTGGTTTGCAGGCCAGTGTCTATCCCACAGAGCCACCGCACTTGCCTGTAGTCTGGTTGTTGTTAAGTACCATAGAGTCGATTCTGACTCATAGTGAGCCTGCACAGGGTTTTCAAGGCTGCAAATCTTTATGGGAGCAGAAAACCTCATCTTTCTCCCACAGAACAGCTGGTAGTTTCAAACTGCCGATCTTGAGGTTAGCAGCCCAATTCGTAACCACTACACTACCAGAGCTGCTTCTCCCCTAATAAACCCATCATCCTGAGTATTGTCTGGGAGGTCTGTGAGGCCATTGGAATGAGTAACAGAGCCCGGCAGAGAAGTAGAGAGTGCTGTGGTTTCAACAGGTGTCATACTAGTAAAAGGGTTGGAGGTTGGGGGTCTGTCTGATCTCCACCTCAGGGAAATCAGCCTGTGGTGGGTGATCATCTTGATCTTCTCTTCCCCTGTGAGAAGGCCGATGAGGAGATCCGATGCTGCCACCAGGCTGTTCTTACAGGGAGCAAATGAACGAATGACTACAAGGACCATTTAACCCTCTGTGATACCTCAGGGGCAAGGAAAAGTCTACATTAAAAGTCAACCATTCCTAGGTTGGACAGTTCTTATTATTAGTCATTTTCACTGTTTTAAACAGAAACAAAGGATGCTGTGGGCACATGGGTGAAATGTTCAACTGCTAACCAAAAGGTTGGCAGTTTGAACCTACCAATTGTTCCACGGGAGCAGTATGTGGCAGTGTTTTCCTGTAAAGATTTACAGCCTTGGAGGCCCTAGGGAGTATTTCCACTGTGTCCTACAGGGGCACTATGATTCAGAACTGATTAGAGGCAATGGAGTTTAAATGGAACTCAAATGTCATAAACTCTATTTCACATCCTTCAAAGATACTACCTGACAACCATTCAAATATTTGTGCATAATAATCAAATTCCTTCTTTTAGTTCTCTCTTCTCTAGTCAAATATTCTCAGCTTTTAAAAAACAGTTGCTCTCAAGAAAGGGTTTTCAGAATGGCTCCATCCTGGGTATCTTGTGTGGACATGTTCTTATCGATCAGGAGGCAGAGAACAGACAGTCAGCTAAGATGCAGTGAACTGATTTGTGGAAGAGTAGGATTGTGAGCTCTTCTAACCGGGACCGAAGCCTTCCCTTTGCTGACCCGGATGGAGTTAGATGTCCACCTAAAGAGTTAACTCTGTGTTGACCATTCCTGGAAGGAAATACAATACTGTTTCCATGGTGACCACTTGTACATACAGTAGGACAGGGCTTAGTGATCAGGTTGTCTGGTGGTGGTGTGCCATGGAGTCGGTTCCGACTCATAGCAACCCTGTATGGAGTTTCTGAGGAGCAGAAAGCCTCAATCTTTCTCCTGAGGAACCCCTGGTAGTTTTGAACTGCTGACCGTGAGGTTAGCAGCCCAACTTGCAACCACTATACTCCTAGAGCTCCTTATCATGTGTTGTTGTTGTTGTTGTTATGTGCCATGGTGTTGATTCTCACTCATAGCGACCCTGTACAGGGTTTCTGAGGCTGTAAATCATGTGGTGTAGAATGTATCAATATGTTGGAAACACTCTTCAAACAGGTCTCTTCTTCATACCTGACAGAGGTCCATGCTTGAAGGTGAGGCACTTGGTGGAAATTAACAGATGAGAAAGGAAGCAGGAAGACCAGGTTAATTTCTTGTCCCTGGCACAAGAACAAGTAAGGGTTTCAAGGTGGGAGAGTGACCAATTGCTGCCAATAGGTCAAGTAAATGGGGTTGAGTTACCCTGGACCAGGACCTCCTGGTGTGGTTGTAAGATCAGCACTGGACTGTGAACCACAAGGTCGGCTGTTCAAACCCACCAGTCACTCCTTGGAAACCCTATAGAGGGTTGCTATGAATCAGAACTGATTCCACAGCAGTTAACAGCAACACAGTGACGTAAAGAGTCCTAGTGTGGCTCTGTATGATAAGCACTGAACTGCTAACCACCAGGTTGTTGTTGTAGTTAAGTACTGTCAAGTCCGTTGGTTCCTGTATAGGGTTTCAGAGGAGTGGCGGCTGAGTATGACCCTCCCTCCTTGTGGTTCAAACCGACTTTACCATCTAGTGCTTATCCTCTAGCACCACATCATAAGGTAGGCAGTTTAAACCCACCAGCTACTCCTCCGAAACCCTATTCAGGGTCGCTATGAGTGGGAAGCGACTCCAGTAACAATAAAGACATAATGGTGTAAGAACTCGTGGTGTGGTGCTGAGGATTAGCAGTGGATTGCTAACCGCAAGGTAGGCAGTTCAAACCCACCAGTAACTCCTTGGAAGCTCCATACAGGGTCACTATGAATCAGAACCAACTGATTGCACTTCACAATAATAACATGCGGATGTAAAAGCAGAGACTTATCTCGGATGAAGCTATGGGCCCTTCCTAGGTGTATCAGGGCCTGGAATGCTGAAACCGCTTGGCACATTTGTAAAGGGAATTGTGGAGTTCCGGAAGTGTACCCCAGTGAGCTGGGCACCAGGGGCAAGCACTACAAGCAGGTTGCCTGCGAACCAAGGCTGCGAACCCAGCCATCTGAGTTCTCAAAGACCCCAGGAATGGTCTGGCCACGAGCTCGCTGTAGTGCACAAACCAAGGCCCTGTGGGGTTCCCTTCAGCAAACCTGCAACCATCGGAGCCTGCAGGATAGTCGTTTTGCTCGCGGGGCCGCTGCTATGGTGTGGTCCTCCAGCGGGGCTTCATCGGGCCCGGGAGGGCTTATGGAGAGGTGAGGACCCCTAAGCATGCGGACAGCCACCTCTCTTTTACTTTACCGGGCAGGATGCCAAGGAACAAGACGAAACACTCATGCCACTTTCGGAAAGGGAAGAGAAAGTTTAAAAATTGGGCGGGGGCGGGGCGCAAATAGAGTGACCCTGGCCAGGCCCTGAGGTCCAGGGTCCGGGTCTGCTCCTTAGCCAGAAGATGGGGAACAAACAAAATCGGGCCCTAGCACTGCCTTCCCTCGCCGAGGTGTGGGGACAGTGGCTGGGTGTGAGGAGATCCAAGGAGGGACTGGGTAGCAGAGTCGGTGAGTGTGTGGGCAGCGGGACAGGGGAGGAATGGGTCGGCAGGCATTGGTGAGGTGGGGTAGGCAAAGCGGAGCAGGGGTGGGGCCACGCGGGAGCGGACCCAGAGGAGGGAAGTGGGGAGGTAGGAGCTGGGCTAAGGGGGAAGGAGGGAGGGAAGAGCGGAGGTGTGTATGGGGGGGGGGGCGGGTGAAGCTGGGGCAGAGTTGAGGGAGAAGTAGGGGCAGAGGTGGTGGGGGGCCAGGGCTGGAACGAAGAACGGGTCCGGAATAAGGGAGCAAGTCCTAGGGGCAGCCGTCTGGCAAGAGATAAGGAGGGGTCCGGGTTCAGAGAAGGACGAGTTTGGAGGAGGATGATGGGGAGTAGAGGGTTCCAATGGTCGGTTCGGTTCTGGGGAAGGGCAATGAGGTAAGAGTGAGTCTGGGGTGGTCGAGCCCCAGGGAGCCTGGGGAAAGGGTAGGATACAGGTCAGCCGGCCGCCTGCCCTGTGCCCCGACCCCGCGCCCAGAGCCCAGGGCAGAATCCGTGCGCTCACTCCCCGTGTCTCCCGCGGGCCCCGGCGCGAACTACAAGTCCCAGGAAGCCCAAAGGCGGGGGGGCGGAGCCTGGCGCAATTCCCCGGGATCCGGCGCGCTGGGAGCCGTGGGGACG